GGTCAGGAAATATCGACTATCGTGGTAAGGAAATATCGACTATTAGGGTCAGGAAATATCGACTATTAGGGTCAGGAAATATCGACTATCGTGGTTAGGAAATATCGACTATCAGGGTCAGGAAATATCGACTATTAGGGTCAAGAAATATCGACTATTAGGGTCAGGAAATATCGACTATCGATGTCAGGAAATATCGACTATCGATGTCAGGAAATATCGACTATCAGGGTCAGGAAATATCGACTATCGATGTCAGGAAATATCGACTGTCGGGGTCAGGAATTGTCGACTGGTGTTTTGTTTCATTTGGCTTTTAAGCTGCTGGCTCTTTTTGAATGATCGACCTGATGGACTTAACAAATTATGAAGGTGAATGAAATTAAGCATGCACCCCGTTTACTATCAATGTAATAATGCACGGTTCTTTTATTTATATGTATGTCTTACTAAAGGTTGATATAGATTGGAAAAGGGGATATGTAACATGAAAGCGAATACGATTACACAGGGATTTAACATCTGACACAAGTTAATAGATAGGCCTTAGTCACAAGTGTTTACATCATTAGTCTACGCCTATGAAGTAACATTTTGACTCCGTTTTGAGCTTAACTCAAGTTCGACAAAGGTGTGAAATTCATCTTGTTCAGTATGTAACGCTTTTACTGTGGATACATGTACTTAATTGTAAAGCAGGCGTGTACATTCTGAAATACAATTATGGAAAGAGAAAGATCTCACATCATTATTAATTTGTTTAATACTTCACTCTTGTTTTAGAATAATTGTATAATATATACATATATTAATAATTTGAAAGTAAATATGACAGAATGAATCACTCTTATTTGAAATAAAGGAATACTACACCATGTGATAGACATCTTTTAAAGGTTCCAGCCCTATTTTAGCATTCCCTTTCCATATCATTCGTATTCCATGCTTTTGTTTATTGTTAGTAATATTTATTTTAACCGCTCTACAATTATTCTAGAACATTCTAAAACCACTGGTGTCTCCCAAGAGGCACACTGCCTAGGGTCAGAAACCCTCGACTTACATATAAGTAATTGTTCAGTCACCTGTGAGTGGCATCATGTGTTAATTAACTGTATTCGACTCGGTAAAAGAGGGACGTTCCGAAATTTCTTTTAGCCATATTAGCACTAATGAAGAAACTTGTGCGATCGCTATACTTTGCCTGGCGATATCACGATTCCATATAGTTACCTGTTGTGACGTGAGGTAACACCGCCAGGTAAACAGCAAGGTACAACAGAGTCTGGTCCATCACGGGAGGGTGTCGAGGTGATCTGCAACATACGATACAAACAATCCATGATAAAGGGCTAAATGATACGTCAAGTAGAATATTGTTTTTGAAAAGAGGTGTTTGAGTATTGTTATATATGGTCTATTGTGATACATTTGGATCTCAGGAATATGAGAATGGGGTTTGATTTGAAAATCGAATAAACATGGTAAATAAAAACCTCTGATGATTTGATAATGTTAAAGCAGAGATCAAAGGGAAAATGCATTAAACTTGTTCGGATGCAAATGAAATGTACTGCTTCGTAGTTCCCATTGAAATAGCTTTGATTCCTCACCCTATGAACATGAAACATAATTCAGTCATTAGATTTCTGTTGGACCAATGAATAATTAAACGCATACAGTAGCTAGGATCATGCAGCAAACGGAAAAGTATTGTCAAATGAATCAGATTCAATTTTAAATGGTAAATGAGTCGAATATAAAAGGGGATGCAAGTTATTTACATAGATGATTTTATGTCGCGACATATAAACCCTCCATTAGAGTGTTTGACAAGTATTGTTAAAAGGTTGCTACGAACATCGCCCCCCTTAGGGTGCCGCTCCCCCCTTCTTGGTGCCTCCATCGTTTTGAGGTTTTTGATTGGCTAATATACCACGCTACAATCTGATTGGCTGTAGGCCTCTTTCTTCATCTTGAAGAAAAATTTCAACGGCGCCATTTTGTGGCAGCATATTTTTATAAATTATACCAAATTTGCCTTATTGAAAAACCCACCCTTACATGCCACCCTTTTTAATATTGTTTGTTTTGTGATCTATATATATATATGTGTGTTGGTGTGGGCGTAAGCGTAATTCTGTCGAATCCCCACCTAAGGATGTAAATTGACAGTAAACATCATTTTCATAGTTTGTGTCATGATGTCATTATAATAAATTGTCATCTTATGATGGCCTTATTCAATTCTATATATGTGTTGAGTTTTATGTGGAGTAGGCATAAAAAAAGAATATGAAGACAATTGAGTTTAAGAGAAATGACTCTTGTTCTATTTTGTTTATTGCATTCGGCATTGTCACTGGTAATAAAACAAATCAATTCTCAATCATGGAAATCGTCTCTGAACCTCTGAACTAATAGTCCACTTAACCGAAACAGAGATTAATGTGGCTAGTCATGCTATCCCAATTACTTCGAGACATCACGGCTTTTAACCGACATCGAGAAACTCTGTGTTAATACTTATTGGGCTCTGTCTTCGTTTAAAATGATCAACAAAGCTGTTGACAAATTCAATAGACTGCATTTCTAAGACGTTTTATCTTACCGAAGGCATTTCATGTGTAACCGAGTCATATAAGACAGTCAAAGAAATTCAATTAACATTTAAAAAATATATATTCATTTTTTAATCACAAACGGTTTATAAAAAACACAACTCGGTCGGGCGCCGACACGTTAATTAAATTGTTTTATAGTTGATGTATCTAATCGATATACATACCATAGCGTTGAAATAATGTTATCATCATAAAACTCATGTATATTCATCATTAACTTATACTTCATTTTAGTTTGCTTATTCTGTAACGGTCGATAACACATCATATGTCATTGCTACGTTTGTCGTTTTTTAGTACAAAAGATATTTCTGCATAAAATAAGCCTAGCCCAGCTAGTCGGACTGGAATGATAGCTTGTCGAAAAACATGACACGAGTACCAATAGCGAGCATTGTCCTAGGTAGGGTTTTGTCAGTGCTACCCAATTATCGAAACAATCATTATCCATAATGATACTTTCCTTAAAATATGTATATTTTCAGTCTTTTTTCATTCTATATTTCTACATGTTTGCCAGTATTGAGTTCCGTGGCAAGCTGTGAACAGTTTGAAGGCGTTCCTTGTGCTAAGATGGCAGGATTGTTAAGAAAAACTTTGCCAAGTCCTTCAATTTCACATTCAGATTTATATCGACGATGTCCTATTTTTTTACATAACAAGAAATTAATTGACCACGTAGATCGGATATAATCTCCTAAGCTCGTAAACAAAGGCGCTTCTACCTCAGCTGTTTTTCTCAATATTTGTTTAGAACATTACCAACAAGGACTAAGATGTATAACAAGTGGGGGCGGCTGACTCTTTCTGGAATATTACTTTTCTTGATAGTACATGTAGCTTCCTGTTTACCATACATACGGTTTTAACATCAACTTCTGACTGACAAACTTGCAACACAGATTTTCCAATTAATGCAGGTTGCCGAACACATAAACAAGTTTTATAAGCGCCATCATGTTCTCAGTGGAAATTATGTTATTTTTTGAGCGATATGAAGGTCGATACTTTTCCTATGCTCATAAGTGTGCCTTGTAATAGCTGTGTCGTCACTTTCCAAGTTCTCTCCTTGGGATATGACATCATTTGTATTTGACCTAGATTTTCATAAAGCAGAAGACGCTTTCCTATCGGAACACCTTGTCTTATTCCCCTTGAAAGTGTCCAACGCCTCCATGTAAATCTATTTTCCATTTGGAACACCTTGTCTTATTCCCCTTGAAAGTGTTCAAGGCCTCCATGTAAATCTATGATGTTCTCCCTGTTTACCTGTTTATTAATTTTGAATTGGAATTGTGGTTTTGTTGACGCTTCTGTATTTATTCTTTTGTTGTTTTATTGTTTACTTTGTTCTTTATAAGCTATGTAGGACACATCTACCATTACGTTTATCATATATCATTTGTTTGTCGTATAATAATGCGAGAGCATGGGTAAGCTTTAAAAACCCGATTTATATTTTTTTTTCAATAATATGTTGAAATGATTTATGACGAGAAATTTGCATTAAAATTTCTTATGTACCTAGTTTCTCATGCAAAAAAGAAAAATAATGCAGTTCTAATTTAGGTCTGGAACCTTACATTTATTAAGTAATGCAAAAATTATACCCAACACAATATGCGTGTTTTATTTGTGGTCAACCTAAATCCCTAGTAAGGCATTTCACTTCTCTATGTTGATGATCATCTTCAGCTTTCCAAGTCTTGAAGTGGTGGCCTTTTTTTTTTTTTTTAATAAATGAAAACCTGAGCATTTACATTATTCTTTGTTTTATCATAGCACTATCCATAATTTCAACTTTAATTGACATTAAAAAATGATGTTAACTTCTTTTCCGTTTCCATTTACGAAACATCTTCCAGCTAACAGGCATTTTCTCAAAATAATAAAATTGCATTCAATGCTTGATAAACATCTGAAAGAAATAGCATTTAAAATGCCAGAGCAACGTTTTTACAATATAATTTCCATTTTAGACGTATTCCTATGGGACACATTTTCCTGACTGTTTTTAACCGTCTCAGGTTTAGACGTATTCCTATGGGAAACATTTCCCTGACTGTTTCAACCGTCTCGGGTTTAAACGTATTCCTGTGGGACACATTTCCCCGACTGTTTTAACCGTCTCGGGTTTAGACGTATTCCTATGGGAAACATTTCCCTGACTGTTTTAACCGTCTCGGGTTTAGACGTTTTCCTATGGGAAACATTTCTCTGACTGTTTTAGCCGTCTCGGGTTTAGGGGTATTCCTATGGGAAACATTTCCATGACTGTTTTAACCGTCTCGGGTTTAGACGTATTCCTATGGGACACATTTCTCTGTCTGTTTTAACCGTCTAGGATTACAGGAAAAATACCAGTGTTTCTCCATAATGGAAATGTCATAAATGATTAAAATGACTGTAGAAACTGTAGATAACAAGACTCGAATCTCCTTTTCTTTTTACAAGTCTATAATTTATTCACTGATAGAGAAAGGCACTTTGATTTATTTCCGTGTTTCTGCTGATTAACATGCACACTAACTATTTGATACAATACCCAAATGTGTATATGGTAGAATTTATTACTGTGTGTTGTATAATCCGACGATATTGTGAACAATGGGTATTCTTCCGCTTTACATTACAGGGTATTGATTCACAGGAAAGCACATAGCAAAACATCAATCAGACGGTGAAATCAGCTATTTATCTGATTCCAAATTAGTAATCAAATACTAATTCCATTTTTACAATGTACAGTTTTAAAAAATACAATGGACGTGTATTGGATTTAACAGGAAATATAAATTGATTTTCTTTGACATTCGGGTGCTTGCCGAATATGTTAGTCATAGAATAAACGTTCTTATTCTCGAAAAGTGCTTTTTGTTGAACGGTCAGTTTTAAATTTATCACGAACAACAGAAACATTTAAAAACAATGCAAGAGTTATGTAAGATCTATGAAATATTAGTTTCAGCGATATTTATCTATTCCAAACAAATGGTGTAAATTCATAAGGGTTGTATATGCTACATTTTGAACATATTTCAGAATAATATTATTTTGAATTTTAGCACAACTGGTGATCCATTGACTGATGAAATGGCCATGTGGTGCAGTGGAAATTGTTTTCTGTGTTTGGCTTCTGCATCTGACTACAAGGTGATGGACAGCTGATGGTCCATCAGCCTCTGAGGTTGACCGTTGCCTGTTAGCGGGATTTTCTTTCTGGCAGTGTTTGAATGAAATACTAGCTGAAGTATAAATGACCTGTTGCAGCTAATATATATATATATATATATATATATATATATA